AATTTTAGAGTTTTTTGTTAGATTTTTTATCTGTGCTCATATCTTGCCGCTTTCGGTTATTTCTTTATTTATGGTTCTAAGCCAAGTCATTTTCAGTCTCCGTACTTTAAGTTTTTCATGTAGGTTTGATTCTAATGTCTGGCGTGATATTACAGTCTGAGTTCTCCTAGCCCTGCAGTATGGCCCAACCACCGCCAGTTCCCGCAGTTCCACTTTGGAGATTCTTCTTGACCAGAAAATCCCGCATATTTTTCTGAGTCATTTAAGAATACCTGGACACTATCAATGTTGGCTCATATGCGTGACAGGTTGTGTTTCCATACAACAGTATCGGTTTTATGTACGCTCCGAAGAGCCTTAACGTAATTTTCCTGGGCAAGCCGGACGGGCTTCCTACGCACCCCCCTGTGCAGTAATCGAGGTAATTGAATTTTGTTGTCTTGAATTTATCTTGAATTGCCTATCCACTGAATGAATTGAATATGCCTATACACTTATACGACCTTTTCTCAACACAGGCCGATATTCTTCTATTTCCCAATCATCTCCGGTATTTGCAGAATTAAACTGGTTTGTACCTTACACCGTCAAGTTTCAATTATTGAGTAAAGTAAATCTAATGTGTTAAATATGTATATACGATACTTTTAAAAAAATTTTCGTTCATAAAAAACCGATTGTTTCAACTTCAGAATTCGCTTTCTGTCAATTTAAATCACGTAAAACCTAATTTTTTTCAAGCACCAAAAATGTACCAGACACAATTTTCAAAAAACTCAGTTTAAAATCGAAATCCATTATACTAAATTTGGCATTTAAAATTCCAACACTGATTATAACAAAATGATTTCATTTCAATTCGGTTTGATAAGAGAGCATTTATGTTTGTCGGCCTATCCATCGCATCTCATTTTCTGATTTGTTCTTCTTACCTTCTTACACACACTTATCCATTTATATTCCATTCGAATATCGCATTTTTATTGAATTTTTTTCGTGATTGTATTAATACACATATAGTGATGAAGAAGAAAAACTGTGTGTGAGTGCTATAGAACGGAACTTTTAGAGCATATTTTTATTACATAGGGGTACATGAATGTGTATTTGTATGCTTTTAGTAAAAATATTCTATATAACGTTTCGTAGTTATAAAACTAGAGTTAAATTCATGCCATGTGATCACGGAAGTGTGTCAGCAGGTCTTTCAAATAACGGTAAAAAGTATAAAACCATTAATGGTATTTTTTGTTAGTGTATTGTGTTTATTTGGTTGTATTGTCTTTTATTCTTTTTTTTTTTGGTTTAACGATGTCTCTTAATGGTAGTGATGTAAATGTCTAAAAGAAAAGAATAAAAAATTTATTTTTTCGTGTTTTAAATATTTTTCAAATGACTAAAAAAATAAAAATTAACACTAAAATTTAATACACTTTTTTACGCTGATCATTTGATTTTTACCCTCATATTTTTTGTTGGCCTAGAGACGACTAACTGTTCACACTTTTTCCAAATTTTACCGAATTTAAAATTTCTTTTACAGGAATTGGAAAACTAATTATCATTTCCTTAGTTTGCTATTAATAAATTGTAGTGAATTGTTGCATATTAATTAAATTGTATAAATAAATAAAACACAATTTCTACTACCCGCATTGCCATTATTTAAAAAAGTTGTGGAAATTTTCAGACATACAACAGAGATTTATCTAAATTGCAACCGTATGTTCAACTTTTTAAATAGAAAGAATTTAATTTTATTCTAAAGCATAAATATAATTATTATTAAATTTACTTCGTCATTTATTTATTTCAACCCTTATATCCAATTTATTCATGTAAATATAATCAAATTTTTGAGATCATTCACTGTACATCTCGCTACTATACATGTACACGCTACTGTACATCATGATTGAATCTAGTCCTAAAAAATAATTTTTTGATTAATTGTAAATTATTTAATTAATTATAGTGGTATAGTTATGATTACACGAATCTTAATGAATATAGCATTTTGCGATATACAAAAACAAAAATTGGAATAATCTTCTTGCAATTCATTGAATTAGTTCCTAGCGGGCCTTTGAAATTACTACAATTCATCAGGGTCTCATGTAGGTGTCGTAGTTTGATGGGCACAAAAGATCTTTTAAGCTGGCTGCGGTTCACTGCTACCCTTTCTTTGCAATCTACAATTGATGGCTCAAGCTCGATTTCCAGGAAGCTTTAAATGCTAGAATTTAAAGAAATATTATTATTTATTGGATGTACATTCATTTTGTTAACAGTAGATGCGTTAAACGTATTAATAATTAATAAATAATTGAATTAAATAATTTACATAGTTTTGATTTAAAACACTGTGACAATTTGTGTAGCAGTGTCAGTGTTACGACATTAAAATTCCATTGTTTCGATGTTTTCTTAATTAGAAAATAGCGTTTAAAGTTAAAATTTTGTTTTGTTACGAGTATATACAATTTCTATAATGTGTTAAATGAATTTCATTTATTATTATTATGAAATTCATATAGTACCTTAAATGATCGCAACAAAATAATTTTATTTTCAAATAAGCTGCTGCGTAACAATAGTTCTATATGAAGAAGTATAAAAAAAAAGAAAAACAAGAGAAAAAATATAATGAAAGAGCAAAAAGTTTGAATAATACTCAACACAATGTAAACTAACATTAAAGTCAATTTTGGTGTTAAGTGTTGAAGTGAATTGTTGTTGTGTTATTGTTGTGTTGAGATTAATTCTTCCTAAATAAAAAAAAAAAAAAAGCTTGAATAAATATATTTATGAATAACGTGTAGTGCTTTCACAAATCTAAAAATTTCTTTTTTTCTTTTTGTATCACCCTCCCTCTCTCTCTCTTTCTCTTTTTCTTTCTTTGTCTCTCATTCGGTTTCTGAACGCAATAAAATGTTATGTGAGTACGTTTGAAAATTGGGTTAAATAATTTTTATTTCTCAGGTGTATTATTTTTCTATTGTGTTTTTTTTATTTTATTTTTTATTTAAATATTTATGAATTATAATAGATTTTCATATTATATATATTTTATACACACATAAATGAGGCATGTTCATACGTGCATACGCACATATTTTTATACAAATTTATGTGTTAACAATTACGGTAATGGAATTTTTAATATTAATGTAGAATAATAGGAACATTAGTTTATGTTGGGGAAGAGAATTAGCATAATATGCAAAATAGTCGTCGTAAAGATATACGCGGTGGGTTTAAAACGCATTATAGTAATATCATCACATCACCAGGTATTACTGTGATCTTTATTAGAAATTTTTTAGAGCTTAAAGAAAGGAAAAAAAGCAAATGTTTTTCATGCTTTAACAAATTTAGTTCAATAATAAATACATATATAATATGTAACGTACTACATACGAGTACTCATGTATTGTACTTATATTCTACTATACATAATATTTATAAAAATGTTATTGGTCTAAACAAAAATGAGTTTGTGTTCATGCCGACACGCTTTATTTAAGATTCATATTAGTTTATAATTCATAACTTTTTTATAATATGTAATATTTAAATTACAATATATACAAGACGCCATTTAGCTTAAATATGTGAATAAAAAATTGGAATATAAAATTTTAAAATGTTCTCAACTTAAACATAAACTGATTTTAATTATTTTAAAATATTTTTAATCTAAGTTATAAGATTAAATCAGTAAGATTGAATCAAACCAATGATTTCTTTAGAATGAGTCTATTTTTTTGAAAAATAATTATCCACTTAAATTATTACATTTATATACCAAAATTATATATATGGTGAGAAACAATTATCATTGCATACTTTTCGGAGAAAACAAAAATAAGAAAGAAGTTTTACATAATGGTCGAATTCAGCAGTTAATTACTTATGAGTCAATATAAAAAATTATATTTGTTGATGGCATGACATTTACCTTTTTTAATTCTTCCTTTGAAATTCTGCAAAATTGCAGTTCCGGAAACAAAAGGAGCCGAAAATTAAAGTTTCACTAATTATAAGGTGAATAGAGGGGGTAGGATGAAAAAAATTTCTTCTTTCTTCAGAAATTTCTTAAGATATAACAAAAAACGTTGTTAAATCAGACATCACTGTTCAAAAAAGTAGAATGGAGGGGTTTCCCGACAGGTGAAAGGTGGTATCATTAATTACGAAGTATTAGAGTTTAATGTCACCTAGTTCTCATGGAACGGCGTCTTCTCTGTTATTATCCTTAACACATGCTACTGAGTAGGTCAAATTTAAATACGCATGCCTGCGACAAATTGCTATTCAAAGATAGAATGTCAAATTGTAACCTTCTTTAGTTACCACATCGATTTTATTTCATTTTAATTTACATCTCTGGATTTAATAATCAACACAATTTATTCTTACAAATATTAAAACTTAACGACGTTTGTTTTCTGTAACAAAGACTTATTTTTATTGACTAAGTATTTTTCAAGTATTGTAGATAATTTTTAGTATTTTGTTTTTCAATATTTTATTTAGTCAACGTGTAGATTCAATGTAAATATTTTAAGTTTCAATAATATAAATTTAATTATACAATTATATTTTAAAAATAAAATAATAATAAACATTTTAATATTTTCTTTTCAGAAATGAAAATGCAATCTTCAAGGATAAAAAAAGTTTTCAATAGAACGCACAACAAAATTTTGGCTCACTCCTGACGTCAAGTGAAATTTATATTAAATATTCATATATGTATATAAAGTGAATATTCTTGAAAATCTAAACAAAAACTTTTCGTTAAAATCTAAACACCCTATTGTACTTATTTAAGAAAAAACAAATTCACAAATTTTTTTACAAATATTTCAAGAATATTTTAAGTTAAAAACTATATTGAAAAAAAATTTTCTAAAAATTTCTACACTACAATTTATACTAATCAAATTTTTCTGTACTTCTACGTGTAAAATATTTTTAAAAACACTGCACTTATGATGAAGTATTGCGGAATGAATGTACAAAGTGAATCTGAAGTTGAAAGTTTATTGATGAGTCCTTGCTGGAGTCAAACACAAAATGGTAGTGCCGATCAATTTTTATTGGATGGTCATAAATTACTATTAGATCATGATTTAGACTCGTTACCTGGTGATGATTCGGATCAAAAAGAGTCTCTTTTAGATAATTTATTATTAAATTCATCAACATTAAGTGGTAGTTTATCTGATTTAAAACCATTACCGCCATTTACTGGTTATACAGGACATTTATCAATAAATGGTATATCTGGACATCATTATCATGCTATAGCTCAAAGATTACCAGACGATAGTAATAACAATAATCACAGTAATCCGAATAATAATAACACAAACAATAATAACAATAACAATAATAATAATAATAATAGTAGTAGTAATAATAATAATAATAGTAATAATAATAACAATAATAATTTTATCCAAAGTCCATTTCATCATCATCATCAGTCGAGTCATCAAGGGTCAAATGGAAATAATGGAAATGGCATTAATAGTAACAATACAAATGGAAATAGTGGAAATGTTGGGACAACAAATAATTCAGCAGATCATAATATAGTCTCATCATCTACATGTTTACCTGATAGTGTTCTTAGTTCAGATTGCGGAACTGATTGCCTACAAGATGTTAAGTTATTTGCTGAAAGTCCGATTGAAACCAAATTATATTCGGTAGCTGATAGTTGTGTTATGTCAGATCATAGCGGAGGACCGGATTCAGTTAGTGGTGGTGTTAGAATATATACAGATGCAAAAGAATTAAGTGAATATGTTGATATGAATTCAATTGATGATATTGCTGCTATTATAGGTTCTGCTATAGCTGATACAACAGTACCAAATCAAAATGATAATGATGATGGTAATACATCAAGAGATTCATGGATGGATATTGATGCATGGATCGATGGTAATTGTATAACACAACAAGATGCAAAATTACTTGTATCACAGCATCAAGATGCATTAAATGATTTTATCTTGCCACATTCTCCAATACACCATCATTCAAATAGTAATTCATCAACGTTACAAAGTTTATTAACGCATGGTTATATGCCATTATTACAAAATCGTTTACAAAATGGTCCGCCAACGATTAAAACTGAAACACCATCATCAACATCATATTGTAATGAATTAAGTTCAACAAATAGTCCACCAGGTTCAGTAGTTTCAACAACAGATAATTTAATGATTAATGGTAGATATTTATCATCAACAAATTCACATCATTATGGTACACTATCAATATCAAGTTTAAAACCAGATGGTTTATGTAGCCCAGATCATTTATTAGGTAATGGTAATAGTAATAATAATAATTATCCTCATACAACAACAATAACACCTGTATCTGTACCAAAAACAAAACGTTCTAGAACACAAAAAAAACATCAACAACAACAGCAGCATAATGGTGGTATCTTACAAAATGGTGGCCAACAAGTTACCCAATCAACAGTTAGTTTTAATAATGCAAATGATTTATCTGGTTTATTAGGTAAAGAAAAACCGGTACATCGTTGTAATATATGTAATCGTGGTTTTCTAAATAAATCTAATATTAAGGTACACTTAAGAACACATACCGGTGAAAAACCATTTCGTTGTGATGTTTGTTCAAAAGCATTTCGACAGAAAGCACATTTACTCAAACATCAACAGATACATAAGAGAATTGGGCGCGATTGACGATTCTAAAGTTTTTCTTAAGTGTGATATTTTATTGTTTTAATTAATATTTTATATATATATATGTATGTATATAAATATAATAAAATTAAAATTAGGTAGTTTAGATTAACATTAAAAAAATTGATTTTTTTTTTTTTGACATATTAAATTTATACGTTAAAACCGGTGGATAAAAATGTAATTTATATTTGAATTTATTTTATTTTAATTTTATTATTTTATAAAAATCGACAGTTCTATACTATAATAACGAGTATATTAGAGAAGTATGTATATATATATATGTATATAAACATGTATGTATATAAGAAATTTTTTTTTTTAATATACTTCTGTCCTATACTCGTAAAAAAGTATATAACTGTCTCAAAATAATATTTGTATTTTGAATTAAAATTTAGAGTTTTAACAATTTATTATTTAAATACAAAATATATATATATGTACGTGCGTGGCTTTTATAGAAAATATTAATTTGGCTGTATGTATTCTTAATATTTAAATTAGTATATTATAATTAGAATTTTTATCAGAAATATTTATGCTCCTTATCGTAATATTTCACTTTTCCATTGTTGCTTTATTTCAGAACGTATTCTTGTACAATACTTTGTTGTACAATTTGTCCTACTTCATTCACTTTCACATTGCACTGCTTTTTCATTAAAAAATTATAAAAATTTTTTTAGTGATTTACAGAATATTATTTAGAACAAAATTGAAAAACTTTTGAAGAAATTTAGTTTTACTGAATGAATCGCATTTCTGTTGTGTATGGTTGCTTCTCAAAATCATCTGATATTCAAATACATATTTACTTGTATATTTACAAACACACAAAAATTTTAAATTACTTATACATTTTTAACACAGGGGCGCTTTTCGAATTTTACATGTTTTTTATCCTCGACTATGAAACATAGTGAGAGTTAAATATTATATGAGAATTTCGGAAAGCGCCTTAAAATTTTCATTATCAATATCAATATAAATAACACTATTAATTTAGGAATTTCGAAGTTTATATAAGTATATTCAACATTAACTAATCAACATTAACTGGTTGTCAATACTGTTACTCACTTTAAATATTTTTTATTAGGGATAACAAATTCTATATTTTCAAGTTAATTGTGAGCTATTTTAAATGATTTTCTAAAGCAGTCACAATTTACAACATACCTTTCTTATGGTGAAAAAAATGAGTAATTCTTTTTTGTGTTGAAGAAAAATTCTGCGTTGTTAATGAAGTGAGTTCTTTGATTAACTCAATTATTTTTATTTTAATATCATTACTCTACGATTTATTGACAGAATGTTTTCTCTTGTAACAAAGAACTCTCCCTCTCACTCAACAAAGAAATTTTCTCACTCGAACAATTTTATTTTTTTATATAGAAGCTTTATATTAGCACAATATCGACGAAATATCCTTTAATAATTGCAATTATTATGGGGTTTTTTTGATAATTCAGTTCCTAAAGTTAAAATTATAAAACTTTGATGGCTCTTTATTAAAATCAATTATAATTAATTTAGAGCTTTCTAAATTTTGGAAAATCAAATTCTAACTTCACTTCTTCACTTTTTAAGAATTCTCAAACAACCCATGTTTTTCAGCTTGTAAAAGAAATTACACTTAATTCTTTCCTCAAATAAAAATATTAAATCACATTTTCAATTTAGAAACTGCATGAAATAAAATATGAGAACAAACTTGTTGTAACAATCGAATATTAAACTTGTAGTAAATTAATTTTATTTGCTACCTTTATGAATTCGCATTTCAAAAAAAATGCTACGTCTTTAATTCTATTCTTAATACAATAGAATGGTTCTAACTCACAAGTTGAGTTTTTTTAGGCCAAACAATACAACAAATATGAAATGATGTTATGAAGAAATATTTTTTTTTAAATTTTCCATTTCCAGAAATTTATTCTACACAATTGTAATATATATAAGAGAAGCAACCATCTACAATAGACCGTCCATTTGTCTTATTTTGAATCTGTTGTTTTTGTTATGAGGTAATTGTGCTTTTCACATATACAACATAAAAATAATACCATAAATATGTGTAAATTTTCATAATTGTACACTTAAATAAAATTATTATTTGAAAAACAGAAAAAAAGAAAATGTAATTTAATTACAAAAGAAGCATTAAGAAAAATATTTATAAAACAAAAATATTTTGTACATATGCTATTATAACAAAAAAAAAAGACGCTATTTGGAAAACCACATAATTAAGAAAAATTCTAAATCTAATTTTAAAGTAAAATAAAATTCTAAATTAAAAAAAAATATATACTTTATGTAATACGTAAGTTTTGTACATTAAATTTATAATGTTATCAATATATAATTGATAAAATGTAAAATTGAATACAAAAATTAAAATGTTGCCGTCGAACTTATAGAATTTAAGGAAAATAAAGAAAAATTATACATATATGTTTAAAAAAAAAAATGTTATAAATAATTTAATAAATAAAATATAAAACTATATAATAAAAATTGTACAAAATTCAAAATTTCGTATAAAATTTATTAACAAAATTTTTTGAAATATTTAATTATAATTTTTAATATTTCAAAAATGTGTAAAATATATACTATATATACTAAATATACATAAAAAATATTCTAGTTTTCTATATACATATAATAAATTATAATTTTTATTCAGGTTTATGATGAAATGAAATGAAAAACAAAAAATATTTGTTCAAATTGTAAAACAAATATTTTTATTATCGTATGTATTTATGTATACACACTATACTATATGATATACTACTCGTATGTAATATAAAATCTTTGTAACTCATTATTATTCAATTTGTAGTGAAATTACAGGCTTTATTTGAAATTAGAATTTTGATATTTATGCAAAAATTATTTAAGAATTTTTCGAAAAAAATTAACATGGTAAATTATTAAACATTTGTTAGAAAATTTTTATTTCTCATTTTCTTTCTGTCTTAAATTCATATGTTTTAAATAAAAAATTGTTCTAAGATTTTATTGTAGACAACTAGATTTCATCATTGAGAGGTTTGACATTTTAATTTCCTTTTAAACTCGAATTTTGTACCGCATTTTATTTTAAAATTTTATTAAAGTTTGTTGTCAATTATTTGATCAATTTAATAATTTGTATAACATTTTCAAATATCACTTAATAATTAAATTAAAAACACATACAAATATAATTACTAAAACAATGATAAAATTCTAATTTAATATAGAATTTTTAATTTAAAATGACTTTGTACAATGGTTAAAAGTTATAAATTTAATATCATTATTTGTTTCTTTCTTTAAAAATTTCCTAATAGATTGCATAAACAAAATATCCGCAGGCGGGTAACAAAATAATATTTTTGTAAATTACCTATCCCTACCTATATACGCATATTTAATTTAAAATATATTTTGTTTGTTAAAATTAACGAGACAGAAGAATGGCTATAATAAACCTATTTTAATTTAATAGTAATTTAATAGTAATTTAATAGTAATTATTATATATTCACTGTTACAATAATTGACGTCAAATACTTCAAATGTAACAAAATTCAACAGTACTTCAATGCAAAAGGTACTTTTTGGAAAATGTACTAACATATGTCAAAATTCTGTTTTACTGTCGTGTATTTAAACACAAAAACGAATAAAAATTAATTTAATTAATAATTTTAATTTTTCCAACAAAAATCTCATCGTTTCATTAAAAATAAAATTTCAAAATCATCAATATTTCATTGTTTTCTTACAATTTACTATAAAATATCTAGTTAATAATTTTCTATAATAAAAATATTTTTAAAAATATTTATTTTAACAACAAATTTCAATTCATCAAATAATTTAAAAAAAAAATTCATTTAATATTAATTTTTTTTTTAATTATTTTTTTTTTGAATATGAAACACATTTCATCACACATTTATTTTATAAAAAATAATTATTTAATTTATATTTTGTTTTTTTTTTATTTTTTTTTTATACCTCAGTTTAATTTTTGTTTTGAGATCTCGTCTAATTTATCAATTCTTAATTTTATTTTAAAATTAAGTATAAAGACAAAAAATAAATTAAATTTAATTAGAAATTATAAGTATAAATTACTTTCATTAACTAATTTATAAAAAAAAAATAGTAACAATAAATTAAAAATGATATTTAATAAAAAAAAAAAAATATAGTCATGTAAAATAAAATAAAACGAAAAAATAACACTTGAAAATCATAAAAAAATTAATTAATTTAAAAATAAATTTAAAAATAAAAATTTTATAAAAAAAAAAAAGCACAAAATATATTGAAATTGCCCCATTCTTGTAAAATATTTCAAGTAAAAAAAAAAATGTTGATAAAAATTAATAATTAAATAAAAAAAAAAAAAGAAGAAAAAAATTTAAAAAAAAAAATTAGGAAAATTATAAAAAATCTTCTATATTTGTAAACATTACACTTAAATAAATTTAGTGTTAATAAATTAAGAAATCTTAATTTAAAATTAAAAAAAAAAATAAAAAAAATTTTTAACAATTGAAAAAAAAAATTAAAAAGTCTTCCCGCTTTTTGTTAATTTATTTCTGCTTTTTGTAATTTTTTAAAATATTTTTCATTAATTTTTTTTTTTTGTATTTAAAATGGCAAAGAAAAAAAAAATAATAAAAATTTTATAATTTTTATATATATATATATATATATATATATTATGTAAATTTCATTGTAAAAATTATTATTTAAAATCAAAATTAAATAATTTTTAAAAATTAATTTTAATTTTTGTTTTATTTTTATAAATTAATTCAGTTTTATATAGGTTCTTTTTTGTAAAAGTTAAGAAGATTAATGGCGAATTTAAAAAAAAAATTAAAATTTTTAATCTAGATATAATTTAAAATGTACATTGAATTCTTTTACATGTAATGTTATTAACAGATTTCCACATTTCGCAAATTGGGAAGAATAACGAC